TCAGCTGCTTTGTGAATGTGCTTATGTAACATTGATGCAAATCCATGATTGCGCAGAAGGGGCTTTGGGTTGCATTCAGGAACATTTCCATGAGCTTGGTATGATCAAACATCCACAGATGAATTTTCATAGATCAGTGGCGTAGCGTGGGGGGTGCAGGTGGGGCCGGCCGCACCGGGCGCAACATCTGGGGGGGGGGCGCACTCACACTCGCAGCTCTCTGCCCCTACCTGGCTCACTCACTCTCTCTCACTGCAGTGCTGGCTGTGCGAATCCGATCCGAGCTGTTGGGTCGCCGCCCACTGTGGAGGGGGTGGGTACCAGGCGTGCGGTGCGGAGAGAGAGCGAGGGACTATCTGGGGGAGGGACAGTGCAGCGGCCGCCCAGCGCAGCGCTGAGTGCGGGAGAGAACCACACCAGACCAGACCAGGCAGCAGCAAGAAGAAGCTGGCAGCGGTGGCAGGTTAGGGGTTAGGGGGCGCAAATTACTTGCCTTGCCCCGGGTTAGGGGGCACAAATTACTTGCCTTGCCCCGGGTGCTGACAACCCACGCTACGCCGCTGTCATAGATACCCATACATACATACATACAGGGGACATTGTGTTGACAATGCAATATTGTGAACTGGCTTTTAGAATTTTGGAGAAAACACAAAGCTGTTTTCTCTGTGCGTGCAAATATCCATGTCAATTTATAATAAGATATCTGTTTTTCTGCAAAGCCACTTCCGACGTAGAAGGAGGAGGGGTTGGGGCTTCGCCCTCCCACCATGCACGAGCCTCAGCCTCCGCAGGATTGCGGGAATCCCGATCGCATCATCCCCTGGCCAGCCAATCGGATGGCCTGGGGGGCGTGGCCTGCTCCATTTAACGCAGGGGTGGCCTGGGATCTCCCTCTTTGCCGCTTCCAGCTGCTCCAGTTTGTCGGAGATCTTATCTCCCCGTCGCCTGCTCTGGAGCACGTGCGCCTGCTTGTTCTTTTGCTTTAATCTTCCCCTTTCCTTTTAGTTGCTGTGCCTGCTGCTGCCTGCCTTTTCCGGCTGCTGCTTTCCCCCTTAAGAGCTGCTGTTTGCCAGCCCGAGCCCTTTCTTTTCCTGTGAGTAGCGCTTTGTCCGGCAGCCCTCTGCTGCAAGTCTCTTTCCCCGGCTTTGGAGCCCTCCCCTCATTTCACCCTGAGTGCTTTGGAGCCGCCGCTTCCTAAGGTTTGGAGTTGGTGTGGGGCTGACCAGGAGGGACTGCAGAACTAGTTGGGGAGTAATTTGCTGCAGCAGTTTAAGCTATTGGTGGCTGGGTCGCCCAAGGGCAAAACCTGTTTGCTGTTGCTAGGGGCAGCGCAGCACGTGGAGCTTTTAAATTGGTCACTGTAGAACAAGGTCAGGGAGCACTGGGGTTGCTTTGTGTGTACAGTGGTGCCTCGCAAGACGAAATTAATCCGTTCCGCGAGAGTCTTCGTCTAGTGGTTTTTTCGTCTTGCGAAGCAAGCCCATTGACGGATTAGCGCTATTAGCGCTATTAGCGGTTTAGCGGCTGTCAGGGGTTCAGAGAGAGAGGCACAGGGTAGGCAGGAGATGGAGAGCGAAGGGGAGGAATTCCAAGCCAGCGAGGAAGAGGACGACAATGACTCAAGGGATTCCATGAGTCTTTCCAGCGAATCAGAGGATTCCCAGAAGGGGCGCCGGTGGTCAGGGCCAGGGAGCCCCAGGGGGGAAATGTCAGGAGCAGGGTGCCAGCGGAGGATCCCAAAGTGGCAGCTGGGCGTCAGGACCAGCCTCCCCACCAAAGTGCAGCGAAGGGGGTGGAGTTTCCAGTGTGTCAGAGGAAGGAGCTCCAGCAGCAGAGAGAGGAGGGGGGTCAGAGCAAGCAGCCCTCCCGGAAGGGGAGGGAGCAGTGAAGGGAGCAGTGTAACTGTCAAAAGGAAAGTTAGAGGTTTGGCGCGCGCGCCTAGTTCAAATGTAGAGGCGCGCGGAAGTGCAGGGAGCCCGGAGGAGGGGCCAGGTCCCAAAGCCCGCAGGAGGGGGAGCAGCAGTCTGATTCCGCGTCAGAGGAATCCAGAAGGGGGCAAACCCCAGGGGGCAGAAAGACCCTGCGGAAAAGGAAGGAGAGAAAGAGGTGGAGCAGCGCAAGTCTCTTAAATTGGTGCAGAGGAGGGACTGACTCAGACGGGATGCGGCGGTCTAGCGTAAGAGACGTAAGGCTGCGCGCCTAAGATGTCAAGCAAACCATGAACTGCAATAAACACCTTTGTATTCAAGAAGACGTAGGCGTTGGTCTTTTGTGAGCTAAGACTTGAGGCAGCCTTGACAGCGGCTATTAAAGGCTTAAAGGCTTAGGGGATTAGCTGCTAAAAGGCTATTAAAGGCTATTAAAGGCTTAGCAGATTAGATAAAGGGGGGGGAAAGCGAAAAAAAAATCTCTAGACTCGCAAGATATTTTCGTCTTGCGAAGCAAGCCCATAGGGGAATTCGTCCTGCGAAGCAACTTCAAAACGGAAAACCCTTTCGTCTAGCGGTTTTTCCGTCTTGCGAGGCATTCGTCTTGCGGGGCACCACTGTACATTATTCTTGCTTGGGGGGCGAGTGAGGCAAGCAGGAAAAAGGGGTTGTTCTGGGGACTGCATTACCAGCCCGTTTATCAGGTTTCAGCCTAATTCCCCTCCCCGCCCCCATGGCTCTCGTGCTGCTGGTTGTTTATTGTTGTCAGGGTTACGGCTCCCTGGCCGTCACCATTTTTTCGCCACGTGGTCCAGCACGGGCAGCCATTTTAGGAGAGGCAGTTTCTTGCAAGGCTGGCCCCTTTTTTCATGTCCGATGCATTTTGGGGCTTTTTATTAAGCTCCGTTGCATGCGAGCCCTCTGGGAACTTGAATTTATCTGACCATCACCTTTACTTACCTCCTGTGGGCTATATTGTTTATAATCTAGCTTAGTTTCTCCGTGCTAGTAGCTTTATATTGTGACATAGCTAGCTACATTGGTATTTAATTGCATCACGTTTCTTAGCCTGCAGTCCCTATCGTTACATTGCGGCTTGCCTTCAGCTTGTTGCTACTCAAGTGATGCATTGTTGGTTCTGAATGCTTGGGGAGTTGGTGGTTGTGGCACAAATTGATAGCACGCGTGGGTTTTCTGGGGCTGATTGTGGGGCTAAAAATAATAAATAGATAATATATATAAAAATTATATATATATATATATACTACAGTGCTTTTCATTAAAGTTAATAGGGAGAAAGAAACGCAGCTGACTGCACAGCATAAAAAAATTTTTTTAGCAATAATAGTAATAATAATAAAAATTTAATTATATCATTGCAATTTTATTGCCTTATGCCTGGCACAGTTTACCTGAATACATTAATTTATTATAAGTGATTTGGAGTTATTTGTTCATAAAGGCCGGTGTTTGTTTTAGTATCTTTCACGTCCCCTTTTGGGGGGGAAAGGTAATACAACTCTGTTCAATATTGAGTTGTTTATAAACTTGAAGCAGCTGGGTTAGCTCAGTCAGTAGAGCATGAGGCTCTTTTTTTAAATAAATATTTTTATTGGTTTTTAACATACAAAATTATAAAACATACCACACAATTTATCACAAATACATTCTTATTGGACTTCCATCAGCACCTCTGATAATCCTCCTTTTTTTAAAAAAAATAATAATATTTCTTAAAGTTTCAAAAGAAGAAAAATCACATTAATAAAAAGATTAACAATAAAAAAGAAAAATACAAAGTAGAAAAAAGAAAAAACAGTTAAATACAATTCCATCTTTTCATCACTTCTTTTACGCTTACTTGTTTCCCGGACCTCCTCATACCTCCCTCTTTTGTATTCCAATTCAATTTGTTAATCCAACAATTCCTTTCTCTCCTTTTTAATCCTAATCTTTAATCTTGATATATTATAACATTAAATTTTTACATATTAAAAACCAATTTTTCCAAATTCCTTTGTACCTGTACAGCTAGAAACCACTTAACTTCAATCCAACATCATTCTAACATTCATTAATTTTGCAATATTTCTGTAAATAGTCTTTAAATTTCTTCCAATCTTCTTCCACCAACTCTTCTCCCTGGTCACGGATTCTGCCAGTCATTTCCGCCAATTCCATATAGTCCATCAATTTCATCTGCCATTCCTCCAGTGTGGGTAAGTCTTGTGTCTTCCACTGCTTTGCAATAAGTATTCTTGCTGCTGCTGTAGCATACATAAAGAAAGTTCTGTCCTTTTTTAACACCGATTGGCCGACTATGCCCAGGAGAAAGGCCTCTGGTTTCTTCAAGAAGGTATATTTAAATACCTTTTTAGTTCATTATAAATCATCTCCCAGAAAGCCTTAATCCTTGGGCACGTCCACCAAAGGTGAAAAATGTACCTTCAGTTTCTTTACATTTCCAACATTTATTATCAGGCACATGATAGATTTTTGCAAGCTTGACTGGGGTTATGTACCACCTGTATATCATTTTCATAATATTTTCTCTTAAGGCATTACATGCCGTAAATTTCATACCTGTGGTCCACAACTGTTCCCAGTCAGCAAACGTAATATTATGTCCAACGTCTTGTGCCCATTTAATCATAGCAGATTTCACCGTTTCATCCTGAGTATTCCATTTCAACAGCAAGTTATACATCTTTGACAAAATCTTGGTTTTGGGTTCTAACAATTCTGTTTCTAATTTTGATTTTTCCACCTGGAAGCCGATTTTCTTGTCCAAATTGTATGCCTCCATTATCTGATAATAATGAAGCCAGTCTCGCACTTTGTTTTTTAGTTTTTCAAAACTCTGCAGTTTCAGTCTATCTCCATCTTGTTCCAAAATTTCCCAATATTTCGGCCATTTGACCTCCATAGAATCATAGAATCATTGAGTTGGAAGAGACCACAAGGGCCATCGAGTCCAACCCCCTGCCAAGCAGGAAACACCATCAGAGCACTCCTGACATATGGTTGTCAAGCCTCTGCTTAAAGACCTCCAAAGAAGGAGACTCCACCACACTCCTTGGCAGCAAATTCCACTGTCGAACAGCTCTTACTGTCAGGAAGTTCTTCCTAATGTCCATATTGAGCTTTTTCAGAGCTTTCGCTTCCATCGGTGACAGCCACCTTGGGGTTTTATTTTCCAATAAATCCTTATATCTTATCCAAACATTAAACAATGCTTTCCTGACAATATGGTTTTTAAATGCTTTATGTGCTTTGACCTTATCGTACCACAGATATGCATGCCATCCAAATACATTGTTAAAACCTTCTAAATCCAAAATGTCAGTGTTTTCAAGAAGCAGCCATTCTTTCAACCAGCAAAAAGCTGCTGATTCATAATAAAGTTTGAGGTCTGGCAGGGCAAATCCACCTCTTTCCTTTGCATCTGTTAGTATTTTGAATTTTATTCTGGGCTTCTTGCCCTGCCAGACAAATCTAGAAATATCTCTCTGCCACCTCTTGAAACAATCCATTTTGGCCACAATTTGCAATGTTTGAAACAAAAACAACATTCTAGGCAATACATTCATTTTAACCGCAGCAATATGGCCCAACAGTGAAAGCTTCAAATTTGACCAAATTTCTAAATCTTTTTTCACTTCAGCCCAACATTTTTCATAGTTATCTTTAAATAAATTCCCATTTTTTGCTGTCAAGTTGATCCCCAAGTATTTAACTTTCTTAACCACTGTTAAACCTGTCTCATTCTGAAACCTCTCTCTCTCAATCGCTGTTAAATTTTTCTCTAAAACCTTAGTTTTTACCTTATTCAATTTAAATCCTGCAACTTGACCAAATTCTTGAATCAATTCTAAAACCCTTTTGGTACTAGATTCTGGCTCCTGTAACGTCAGTACTAAGTCATCTGCAAATGCTCTCAATTTGTACTGTTTGGCTCCGACCTGTATACCTTTAACCAACTGGTCCCTTCTAATCATGTTCAGCAAAACCTCCAGGACCGAAATAAAAAGCAGTGGGGAAATTGGGCAACCTTGTCGTGTCCCTTTTTCTATCTTAAATTCTTCCGTCACCACATTATTTACAATTAATTTAGCCTTTTGTTCTGAATAAATTGCACTTATACCGTTTTCAAAGCCTTGGCCTACCCCCATACCCTGTAGGTTCTTCTTCATAAAACTCCAAGAAATGTTGTCAAAAGCTTTCTCCGCGTCCACAAATATCAAAACTGCTTTAGTATTTATGTTCACTTCTAGTTTTTCCAAAATGTCAATTATATTCCTCATATTGTCAGACAAGTGTCTACCCGGGAGAAAGCCCGCTTGATCTTTATGAATCTCTTCCATCAACACTTTTTTCAGTCTCTTAGCCAAAATGTCTGCAAAAATTTTGTAATCCACATTAAGTAATGATATGGGACGGTAGTTCTTAAGCTGCGTCTTTTCAGTCTCTGTTTTCGGTACAAGTGTAATATAAGCTTCTTTCCACGACTCTGGTGCCCTTTCCCCCTCCATTATTTCATTACAGACCTCTTTCAAGGGTTGTACTAGCCATTCTTTCAAGGATCTGTAATATCTAGAAGTCAGTCCATCCGGTCCTGGAGATTTACCCAATTGCATATTTTGAATGGCACCTTCTATCTCCTGTTCAGTTATTTTATAGTTCAACATTAATTTATTTTCTTGAGAGATTTTTTGTAATCCGTTTGTTTTCAAAAATCGATCTACATCAGTTTCTTTCAGTGGCCCTTGTGTATATAATTGTTTAAAGTACCTCTGGAAACAATTTCTAATCTCAGCTGGGTTCTGTATATTCCTTACTTCCACTTCTAAATTTGTAACTGTATTTAATTTTTGTCTTTTTTTCATTTGCCAAGCCAACAATTTCCCACATTTATTAGCCGACTCGAATGTCTTTTGTCTCATTTGTTTAATTTTCCATTCTATCTCCTGATTCATCATTTTCATATATTGCACTTGATATAACTTTTTCTCTCAGAATCTCTTGAGACTTTGGTTTTGTTCTCAATCTTTTTTCACTTTCCTTTATTTTCTCTAATATTTTATCCTCCTTCTCATTTTGAATTCTCTTCTTTAATGCATTCTGTTGTATCAAGAACCCTCTCATAACCGCTTTACTTGCGTCCCAGATTACTCTTTTTTCCACATTGGTGCTCATATTTATCTCAAAATAGTCTCTCAAGGTTTTTTGGGCCTTCTTAAGCACTTCTTCATCTCTAAATAAGGTGTCATTCATCCTCCATCTAAAGGAGCCAGTTGGTGTTAGTTTCATTTCCATCTTAACAGCATTATGGTCGGAGCAGGTTTTGGGCAGATTTCCACCTTTCTTGTCTTTGGTGCCATTCCTCTAGTTACCCATATTTGGTCAATTCTTGTCCATGTCATTTTGGCTTCAGAAAAGAAGGTTCCTCTTTAGCCACGGGGTTCCTTGTTCTCCAAATGTCAACTAAGTCCAAGTTGTCTGTCATCTCAAAAAAAGTTTTCGGTAGTCTACCATCCTTAGTGACTACCTGTCTTTGTGCCTTGTCCATATGTGTAGATACCACTCCATTCATGTCTCCCTGATAATCCTCCATCTTAATCACGCATTTCCTAACTTAATATTGCCTTTACATCTCTTAACATATCACGTCTTCTCCATTTTTGCAATATTTCTAATATTATTCCTCACAAAACTTGCAAACCTACAAACGTCGTCTGGTTCTCACAAATACTTTTCAAATAATCCGTAAATTTACTCCAGTCCTCAGTAAACTTCTGGTCCCGCCAGTTTCGGATCCTTCCCGTTAGTTTATCAAGTTCCGCATAGTCCATTAATTTCATCCTCCATTCTTCTTTCATCGGTAATTCTTCTTGCTTCCATTTTTGGGCCAATAGTATTCTTGCTGCTGTTACTGCATATAGAAAAAGCTTACATTCCTTTCTATTTATATCGTTTACAACAATACCCAAGAGAAATGCTTCTGGTTTCTTTATAAATGTATATTTCAACATTTTTTTTCAACTCATTATATATCATCTCCCAGAAGCATTTCACCTTTTTACATTCCCACCACATGTGATAAAATGTTCCCTCTTTTTCCTTACATTTCCAACATTTATTACTGACTTTATACATTTTTGCTAACTTCACTGGTGTAATATACCATCTATACATCATTTCAATCACATTTTCTTTTAGTGCATTACATGCAGTAAATTTTAAGCCTTCCTTCCATAATTTTATCCAATCACTCAACTGTATGTTATACCCAAAATCTTTGGCCCAATGAATCATAACCGACTTAACCTCCTCATCTTTCAAGTGCCATTCGAGCAGCAATTTGTACATTTTGGACAAAATTTTTAAATCATTATTCAATATCTCTTGTTGAAACTTCAATTCTTTTTCATAAAAACCTTTTTCTTTAAAGTCTTGTTTAAACATTTCATTGACCTGATAATAATGTAACCAATCATTAACATACTCTTTCACTTCTTCATAGAGCATGAGGCTCTTAATCTCAGAGTTGTGGTTCGAGCCCCATATTGGGCAAAAGATTCCTGCCTTGCAGGGGGCTGGACTAGATGACCCTTTTAAAATACGCAAATAATAAACAAATTGTTCTTCCGTTCACAATCTAATTAACCTAATTTCATTGGCTATTGTATTTACTAGTTGTTGCCTATGAATTCTTACCTATATTTTGCCTATAAGCAGTGTAAACGGTGCTGAACTAGGCTTGCTGGTCTATAGTGTATTCTTAAAAAACAAACAAAACAAAAAAACAAAAGCAAGAATAAAAAGAAAGAAAGGGGGGATTGGTTTGGGAAGGGAAGGTGAAGGCCTGTGGCCTTTAACCTGCGCACCTGGTCTTAACCTAGTTTCATTGGCCATTGGGGATTATTGGTTTTTGAATCTGATTTCTTTCCAAGTGTGGTCAGTTTAATCAATACTGAACTAGGCCGGCTGGGCTAAAGTGTCCTCTTGTAATAAAGGCTTAATTTTAAAAGGGAAAGACTCAGGCTTGTGGGTCTAAACAGTGCACGGCCTGCTTGACCAATTTGCACAATTAAAGTTTGGAGTACAAGGGTTACTGTTGCGGCCGATATAATGGCTTCCAAGAGGACCCAACAGGCACGATCTTCTGTTCCTCCCCAAGAACTCCCCAATATAAGTGGGTCCTGTATCCAGGATGGGTCAGGGTAGCCTCCTGTGCCCTGCAACCCACAGGCTTTGTCGCAGTTTTTTCTGCTTTGAAACCTTTTACCAACAATTCAGGCCCATGGTCACTGCGTCCTCTTCCCAGATAGTGAGTACTCCTGATTTCATACCCATTACTGTGCCCAACAATGAGGAGCTCCCTTGCACTTCAGCCTCTTTATTTAGTGTTCCACATTCAGATAGCAATCCATCTATGCGTCCTCACACGCAATCACAGTATACGCGTCCCCAGGCTTCCAATGCCAAATCCTCAGGTGGTAGGGTTTATGCTTCCAATAATAATAATAATGAAATTTATTTATATCCCGCCCTCCCCAGCCGAAGCCGGGTTCAGGGCGGCTAACAACAATAAAATAGTACAACATTCTAAAATCATTCCATTATAAAATTAATTCAAATCAAATTGATGGCAACCATTAGGCTAAAGTTCTGTGAAGATTGCCAAAGGAGGGAGTCAGGCTGTTCCCTGACCAAAGGCCTGGTGGAACAGCTCTGTCTTGCAGGCCCTGCGGAAAGATGTCAAGTCCCGCAGGGCCCTAGTCTCTTGTGGCAGCGCGTTCCACCAGATTGGAGCCACAGCCGGAAAAACCCTGGCTCTAGTTGAGGCCAGCTAACCTCTCTGTGGCCTGGGACCTTCAGGATGTTTTGTTTGAAGACCGTAAGTTCCTCTGTGGGACATACCAGGAGAGGCGGTCCCGTAGGTACTAGGTCCTAGGCTGGGTCCTAGGCCATATAGGGCTTTAAAGGTTAAAACCAGCAGCTTAAACCTGATCCTGTACCCCACCGGGAGCCAGTGCAGCTGGTATAGCACCGCATGAATGTGATCTCGCAGCGAGGACCCCATAAGGAGTCTTGCCACGGCATTCTGCACCCGCTGGAGTTTCTGGGTCAGTCTTCAAGGGCAGCCCCACATAGACTGAGTTACAATAATCCAGTCTGGAGGTGACCGTCGTGTGGATCACAGTGGCTAGGTCAGGGCGAGAGAGGTAAGGAGCCAACTGCTTAGCTTGCTGGAGATGAAAAAATGCCGCCTTTGTTATGCAATCTGCGCCTCCATGGAAAGGGAGGTGTCGAAGATTACACCCAAACTCTTAACGGACGGGGTGCTGGCACTAATTGTACCCCCGCAAGAGATGGGAGTTGCCCCCCAATCCCATATCATCCCTTCCCAGCCAAAGGACCTCTGTCTTCGAAGGATTTAACTTCAACTGGCTCCCACGTAACCATCCAGCCACAGCTTCCAAACATCTGATCAGTGTGTCTGTGGCCGAGTCAGGATGGCCATCCATCAACAGATAGAGTTGGGTGTCATCAGCATATTCATAGAATCATAGAATCATAGAGTTGGAAGAGACCACAAGGGCCATCGAGTCCAACCCACTGCCAAGCAGGAAACACCATCGGAGCACTCCTGACATATGGTTGTCAAGCCTGCTTAAAGACCTCCAAAGAAGGAGACTCCACCACACTCCTTGGCAGCAAATTCCACTGTCGAACAGCTCTTACTGTCAGGAAGTTCTTCCTAATGTTTAGGTGGAATCTTCTTTCATATTGATGGCAGCCCAGCCCAAAACTCCAGACAAGCTGGGCGAGGGGGCGCATAAAGATGTTCAAAAGCAACGGGGAGAGTATCGCACCCTGAGGCACTCCACACACCAAGGAGTGGCGCGATGACAATTCCCCCCCCAAGCGCCACCCTCTGTTCTCAACCAGAGAGAAACGAGCGCAGCCATTGAAGGACTGTGCCCTGGATCCCCACGTCGGCAAGGTGGTGGTCCAGGAGTTCATGACCGACCATGTCGAAGGCTGCTGACAGGTCTAGAAGAATCAGCAGCCCCAACCCGCCTCGATCCAGCTGCCTGCAGAGATCATCTGTTAGGGTGACCAGAGCAGTCTCGGTCCCATGACCAGCGCGGAAGCCAGACTGGAATGGATCCAGAGCCGATGTTTCATTCAGAAACCCACCAATTATAACCTTTCTGCCTCTCACTATACCCCAGACTTTCCCAGTATTCTACAGGATTCACCTCAGCCTTTACCACGGAAGGGGGCTCCAAAACATCATTGGAGGAAGAGATGCAGGGGCAACAGGAAGTGTCAGCGGCTGCAGAACAGCACCGGTCTCCAATGATGGGCAAGGGAGAAAGAAGTCTTAAAGAAGCATTCGGCCAAGAAGAGCAAGAGAAGTAAGCCTTCTGATTCCGAGGACAATTCAGAAATGCTTCCCTGCTGCCCACCACCTGCTGGGACCTGAGCGACCAGAATTACTGGATGGAGCAGGTGGGTCCCTATGTGGAAAAGAAGCAGCCAGATCCCTCTAAGTTTGGAAATTTGAAGCTAAGCGAGTCCCTCACTGTGAGGTTTGCTGGGTGTGTGCCAGGGGCCAAATTGTAAGTATGCACATGAATGTGAAAGGTGCCTAGGTAACCACCTGGCGTCCTCATGTTTTAAAGGTAAACAGCCCGGACTTCCGGGTTAGCGCCATCGGCGAATGGCGGAGTTCCTCCAACTGGAGGAACTGGCTCTGTGGAAACTGGATCTTCCCGCCGCGGCGAAGGTGGGGACCCGCTAGAAATCCCAGGCGTAGGAAGCCTGGGAACGTGGGCTCCGGAGTGAAGTGGGGTGAGCGGCACGGTGCTGCGAACTGATTGCTACTTTCACGGAGTGAAGCCGCACAGCCATTGCCGGAGAGCGCTGACTTTTTCCTGTGGACAATTGGATTTAAAACAAGTACGCGTGAGTAGAAACGGAAAATTGGATCAAGAAATATCTTAATTTGGCACCGAAGCGGGAAGGTTCAAAACAGGAAGTCCGCCTTCCGCTTTTTGTACATAGACTGAAGCAAAAACCTTGTAAGCTAAAGTCTGGAAAGTCGTTAAAAAAGTTTAAATTTCCTTCATTTATAATTACTGAAACCCCCTTGGAAGCAGGAGAAAAGGGGGGGGGACTTTGTTTAACGCCTGCAGGAGAGAGTGAAGAAAGATAAGTTTCCACCGTCTCTAACCTGGGAACGGGGTGTCAGAGACAGAAATTCTTGGAGAGGTTCATTGACTGTGAATGGAATACTTTGACAGATAGCTAAAGAAGAGAAATAAATTGATTCCAATGTTGCCTTCTGCATTCTAAAGAAACAAAATACCTGAAAAATGAAAGTAATTTTCCTTTGTTGGACTTGCCTTAAAAAAAAAAATGGATACAAATAGAAATTGTCTCCTCTAGGGGGAGCTTGCTAAATTGTTGCTGCGTCTACTTGAGGACTCTACAGCTGTCAGATTAAGATCGTGGGACCAGTCCTTTTTGACCTTGACTAAATATGAGCTGGGAGGAAGTTTTGGTGCTTGCTTTATGCAAGACAAGTGCCTTGCTGGAACAGACTCATGAGAAGATGAATGAGAAAATGGATTTGATGACTGTTGTGGTTAATAACTGTGGACAAACAGGGAATACTGATACAGAAACTATTCAGGGACCAACTCAGGAACCTGTACTGATTGGGCAAGTGCAGAAGATAATGGAGGAGGTTGCGGTTGCACCTCAAATAATACAAATGGAGAGACCCGAGGCCCTACAGAAGTATAAGCCGCTGTCTTTGAAGACTGAAGTTGGAGTCGGCCAGGGGGAGTCTGGAGCTGAGGAGGTTCTTAACTTTGGAGAGACCTCGAAATATGTTTTTAAATATTTTTTGGACTACATTGATGATTGTGGGGAGTGGGACTCTGGGGAATGGGCTGGTTGGATGAAGGGAGACGAAGATAATTTTGGGTTGGAATCCCCCCAGAGACCTACTCCCCAACGAGAAAGGAAAGAAACTAAGAAAGAGACCAACAAAAGACAAGGAAAAGTGCAAGTATAAACAAGAAGAAGAAGATCTGCAGAAGGGACATGAAAGAGACTTAAGGGCCTCGGACATTAGATTACCAGGTTGATGGACTAGATGGAATGGACAGTAAGGACTGACACGACCCGAGACCAGGAAGAAGAGACGTTGGATGAAGATTGGAAGAAAATTTATAAAGAATTTTTTTTTCTAGGGAATTAGCCTAAAATGAATGAACATTAGGGAAAGTGTTGGAATGAAACTATATGACTCTAGTAGAAAAGATAACAGGAGTTATGTATAATCGAGTATTAAGCGTTAAGCTCTAAAGTATTTTTTGGTAAGATAAGGTTAAATAACTTAAGGTAATTTGAATAACAGAATATGGGGAAAGGATGGAAAGGATTTGTTGAGTTAATTAATAGGTTAAATTGTCAAGATAAATTATTTAGTAAAAATTGAGAAAGATGGAAAGAATTTGCTGAAATAATCAGTCAAACTAGAATACAAAAAGGGAGGTGTGAGGAGGTCAATGAAACAAGCAAATGGAAGTTAAAGATATGTAATATGGGATTTGTGTCTTTCCCCCCCTTTTTTTATCTTTTCGCTGTATTGTTGCATTGGTTTTTATGTCTTGTTTTTTTCTTGTTTTTTTTCTATGTATTGTAGTGTTGTTTTTAATTTTTTTTCTTTTCTGTCATTTTGAAATTATTAATAAAGATTA